TAAGGCCTTCTTTGCTTTCTCAAACTCGGTCTTCTTTTTCAGAAGTGGACAATTTGGCTTGATATGTCCACGTTTCTTACAGTGAAAGCATATAACATCCTTTGATCTCTTTGTTTCATCGAAAGACTTCTTCTTCTCAAAAGGCTTCTTACCTTTGAGGTTTCTTCCTTTGATCTTCATTTTCTTATACTTCTTTATAAAGAGAGCTAGTTCTTCATCGTCAACATCTTCATCTTCAGAATCTGCATCAGAATCAATGTTAGTCTTTAAAGCAATTGACTTATTACCTCTGGATTCATTCTCCTCATTCCGTTTCTCAGTCTCATATGATTGAAGAGTTCCAATTAACTCATTCACTGATAGAGGCTTGATCCTTTGTGTCTCTCGGAGAGATGTTTTGATGTTATCCCACTGATTTGTCAGTCCTCTCAGAAGTTTGTTGACTTTCATTGCATCTGGAACTGGTTGTCCTTGATAAGCAAGACCGTTTACTATATCAGTAAACCTGTCATACAAATCAGCAATTGATTCTCCAGGCTTCATTTTGAAGGATTCATATTGACCAAGCAAAAGATTGATTTGAGTTTCCTTGGCTCGATCTGTTCCTTCATAAGTGACAAGGAGAGTATCCCAGATTTCCTTAGCTGATTCACAAGCAGCAATTTTTTTATATTCAATAGGTGATAAAGCACAATAGAGAGAATAAATTGCTTTGGAATCTAAGGTTTCTCTTTTGGATATCTCAGTTTGAGATAATGGAGGATCTGCTGCTTTGCTTGCATCTGCCTTTTCTTTTGAATCAGAAGATTTTGGATTGACTCCTATGATGATGACATCCCATTGCATGTGATCGATTGACTTTATGAATGCCTTCATCTTATTCTTCCAGACACTATATTCTTTGCCATCGAAATATGGTGGTCTGTTGTTGCTCTGTCCTTCAATGAGCCCTGGAGCACCATAGCTAGGCATGTAGATCGTTAGCTCAGAAGTAAGACACTTCAATAAATGAGCAACCTGCTCTGATACCAATTGATGTAGCCAGCAAGGATAACCTAGAGGGGGGTGAATAGGTGATCTTAACCAATTTTTAATAATTTATGCGGAAACAAAATAAATCACAGAAGAGTCTGAATAAAATTCAGATTCAAGACAGATTATATAGACGGTGCTCTTGATGTGCAGAATGTAAAGTAAGAGATAAGGGATAGAGAATCTGCACACAAGTTTACAGTGGTTCGGATTATAGCAAGCCTACGTCCACTCTCCCACGCTTACAGCCTACCGGCTGGATTTCACTATGTAATCAAGAGGAATTACAACTTCTGAGTGTTAACACTTGTCACGCCCCGAACCCTACGAGCGCGCAATCATCCCTTTGTGGTCGTAATGTACGCGACAGCCCAGGACTTGTCGTCGACCCAATCGAAACACTAACGAGTAACGCATGCGGAAGCAACCTCGAACTCTCCGTACAACATATAAACAACGGGATAGTAGAGAGACAAAGAATACACATCAACAAGACACTTTTATAAACATAACATCGATTATAACACATACATTTGCAAGCCTTCTACAAGGCCACTATCTACGAACCACGCACAATAACATGGATCTGGTGGTTGGTAAGCTTAACTCCTCTACAAAAAGGTGTACTCAAAAGACGGGGTAACTCGACCTATCCTCAATCCCCGTAGTATCCTGGCAGCGTCTCCGGATCAATCACGGTCGCGGGTCTGAAATGGTTTGGTTATACAACCATGAGAACACTTCTCAATAAGCAACTACCTAAGCCTCGCTTAGGCCAAAGCGTACTTCCGAACAATTCTAAACATGCGATTCAAACAATCGATGTGCCATAAACAATCACAAGCGTCCTTACCTCGCCTTGGCGCATACACAAGCCCTGCACATTAGAATATCGCCATAACATGGCCAATTGCCCATCAAGCACGCGCAAAGCAATTCATGGCATGATCAAGCATAACATGGTTAATAATCCAGACGTGCTCATCAATTAACTCAGGCAAAGCATTCCCCAATGCAAATCACACTCATTAAGTCCAGATTATTAACGACCCCTCGGGCCACCGAACTCCCGCCGGTCTTCTGGCGTAACCAGGCATCGTCCCACTACTTCGGCGACAGAAACGTCCGAAACCCCCGCCCAGACGGCATTCCACAAAGGAGCATCGATCCGGCCTCTACCGCGATCGGCAACGTCTAGAACCCCCGCCTAGACGGCATCCGAACTCCCGCCTAGACGGAACGTGTCGTGACCATGCACACACCTCAACAATCATTACCAATTCTTATCTTTGTAAATTAGCCCAATGTCAACTAAATCCACCAAAATGTCATGGTAACACCGATCAGTTCCCGAGAGAGAGAAAAACCGAGTATGCACAGAATCGGGGCCAAACTGGGCACTAACATAGTCACCGAATTTCCTTTAAAATAAATAGTAAATCAACTCCAAAAATTCTGAAATTTGGATATGTTGCATAAAACATCTTGGTAAACATTTTCCGTGAGAACTCAAAACCCAGTTCCTACTGTAAGCACCTCTTTTTGTCACTTGAAGTCAGACAAAATTCAACCCGTCCGGTCAGGCCGCCTGACCATCAAAATGCATCTCATCCAGTACCCAAATCATTTTGAAAAGCCTTCAAATTTTTATATGTCATAGAAACAAATGTTATTAACAATTTTTGTGAAGGAAGTTTGTTAAAACGAGGTCTGGAAAAATTTTTAGAAAATCGGAGAGACCAGATGGTCGGATGAACAGTAAATCCGGCAGACTGAATTCGGTCCAAAAATGGACTTACGAATGGAACTAAATGATCTCTAAAAATTCCAGATTTAATATATGTCAAACTTCAAGATGTTATGAACAACTTTCATGAAGAACACTTCCTCAAATTCGGCCCACACAAGTCACAGTAAAAATAGAAAAATCCAGCGACGCAGCAGCAACCTTACCGGAAATTAACCAACAAGCACCACCAAGCAAACCAAGCACAACCAGCCACTAAACCAACTATCCACAGCCCTTAAACCATCCCTAACATGTCCATTAGTCACCCCTTAGCCTAGTCAAGGGTTAGGAAGCCACTTACACTTAGCCTAAGCAAGAAAACCGAGCGAAAGGAGCGGCTCGATCACGGCAAAGCAGCAGCGGCAACGCCGAGCAGCAGCAGCCTCGGCGGACAGGCGGCAGCTCACGGCGAGTCGGGTGGAGATGGGGACTGAACGGTGGTGCTGGTCGGGCTGGAATGGAGGGCGAGAAGCAGCAGAAACTAGAGGAAGCAGAATGAAGAAGCAAGTAGCAGCGAAGCAGCAGCAGAAAATGAAGTAGAAGCAGCAGGCGTGGGGGTGGTCAGCAAAGAAACAATGTAGGGGGAAGTTAGCAGCAGCATAGTAGTGACAGAAACAACGTGGGGCAGCATGGGCAGCTTGAGGAGTCGGTGGATGCAGCGGTAGAGAAGCGAAGCAAGCGAGGAAATGGCATGGGCGGAGCGAAGCAACACGGCGGCGAAGCGCGGGGAAGTCTATCATGGCATTTGCATGGGGAGGTCGGCAACGTGGGGAGTCGAGTGAAGTATGGGGGAGTGATGATGGATGGTGGAGTTGATGGAAGAAGTCGGCAGCAGCGCAAAGGCGAGGAAGCGAGAAAGCGAAGCAAAGCGAAGCATGGGTGGAGCAGCGTGAGATGAGGAGTCAACAACGTGGAGGAGGGCAGCGGGGAAAGAGGAGGAAGTCAGCGGCGTGGGGCAGCAGCGACGTGAGGGAGGAGACAGAGAAGAGAAGAGAGAGAAAGTCAAACGCACTTAAGTGCGATCCGACGACCATCGTTCAAATCCGAAAACGATCCAACGGCCCACGAAAAACCCTAAATATAAATTAGGAAAAAGGCCAAAAGATAATAACTAAACACACTACGAGGGAGGTCTACTAGTCCAAATTCGCACCCGGTCAAAATTTCACTTTTCGCATATCCCGGGCAATATCGAGGCTCGCCACAATAATATCGACACCGTCCAATTAAATTCGTCACGAAACTCCGAGAAATTCGACACCAAAGTTCGGGCTCTAAATAACGGCCAAATTCGATCGAGTGCGATTCTAGCGAATCTCAATTTTAAAAACAATAACCGAGAGTGATCAGTTCCCGGGCAAGATTTTACTATAAGCACACTGACGAATTACACGTTTTATAAATCCCAAAAATGGGCCGAAATTCGGAATGTCACAACACTCTTGTGTATGATAGGACTCTCTATCTCACACAATCACTCTTACAAAGTGTCCCTCAAGATCTTAATGTTTTGCTCAGAACGACAAGAGAAATGATTGGAGTATGCTCAGACTTTGGACTTGTTGATTCTTGATTCTGTGTACCTTCTGCTTCTGCTGCTCGTTGATCTCCTTAAATACTCCTCTACTAGCCGTTGGACAGCTTTCAGAGGATCATCTTCCAATCTTCACTTTGGACAAATTTGTATAATAAGGATTGAGTAGCCGTTGGATGACATATTCTGAATCCCGCTGATTCTGGTCGCCCATACAATCAGAATCTTGGTTTCCATAAGTAGAGTTTTGTCCGTTGTAATGCATTCTTGTCGTGATGTTTGATTGTCAATCAATTTGATTGAGATTGAGACAATCGAACATTCCTTACGTGAAATCCATGCCGGATCACTATTTGTTGTGTTTCGTTACGGATTCTGCGTGCGAAGAAATTCTGCATCCGCGTACGCATCGAATAACACGCTTCGCATCTGCATCTCGAATAACCTGCGTCCGAATCTCGGAACCTAGATTATGTGGGTCTTCAAAAACATACTTGACAGTTTGTAAAGTCTGAATAATTTCCTTCTGAGTTTCCAGAACATAAATACCTGGAATAAATTAGTTCAGAATAAGTATCAGACTTATAATTATGTGGAAGGTTTTGTCAACTTCAAAATTAATAGGAGTTTTCCTCTATAGTATCCATGTTGTCTGAGTAGCCGGAATCGAAGGGAAGCGGCATAGGGATTGTGCGAAAGCTGAGCATCTCCAGCGTTGTTATAGATGGAACTAAGAGCGTTTTTTATCTCCGTCTGGAAATGGTATCCTAGTCCTAGTCATTGAACTGCGTCAATGAACTCGAGCTTGGCCACCTGGTTCGTCTCCCAATCGAATAGACCCCTGACTTCTTCCATCAACCTTTGGACTTGCTCGGTATATTTATCCTCCTAGGCATGTGAAAAATTCAGAAAATTGAGATCTTAATCAAAGTTGATGCACACGTAGAGTTGAATATTGCCTCTCGTATTGAAACAGATTGATTCTCATTTTATTTGCAAACACATTTGAGAAGGAATTGTTGTGCTCGTGCCTATATGCTGAGAATATGCCATTTTGACCAGGTTTATTGATATCTCTTACAGAATATTGTTGGGGTTGGTCGTATATATAATAGAGTGGCAGTGGATGAATGTGTAAATTCTTATTACATAGCTCCAATGTCGTATATAAAGCATATGCAAAAGTACACGAGAAGCATACATCCTTATATCTAATTCAAAATACAGTTTTCTTTTGTTTCTATTTCCTTTTGGGTGTTGTGGACTCTATCTACGATCCACAACTTATGTTGTTTTTGTTCTCAACATGGTCCTTGAACTCGAAACTTGTACCGAGTTTTCCACATCATACTTTCAGCTAGCATTGGCACGCGCATGAGCTTCAATTTGCCAGAACCATAGACCATGAAATTTGATGGGAAATTTCCACTAGTTTAAGGACAAAATTGGAAAAGGAATACAAATTCAGGATCAAATGTGAAACGTTTTCCATAGAACCCAGCCAGGCTGGGTATTATGCTGAACCAAAAAGCAATCATTACCGTGTAATCTACGGTGAGTGACTGTAGAAACCCATAGTCCCACACATTAGGTTTCCAATTCGCCGAACGTCTCACAGTCTCTTGATTTTCAATCGTCAAGGCACATGTCGCAGATTTAGCGCCGGCGGAGGAGAAGGAGGAGCAGCGAGGGTGTCTGAAGAATGAGAGAGAGGGTTGGCTATGGCTGATCGAGGAGGGGACGAAGCTTGTGAACAAAGCAGGAAGAGCCATTGCGAAATTTCCTGCAATCTTTTAGTGGGCTAACCACCCTTTATATAGGCGTTGTTGTTGAGCACCGGTCGTGGAAAAAGTTTATAGCCTTCGACATGCGATTATTGATTTGCAAAAACAAGTATCTTGTGCTTTGGAATTACTCAAAAAATCTCTAATGATCCCACGCATGCATTCAAATATCATCGCAATTACAAAACTCTATACATCTTTCGACTAGAATGTTTATCTAAATTGAGACAATAAAACCGGTTGTCTCCTAATAAAAGGAAATTAGCAAAGTAGTAGACAAATTAGAAATAGTTTGAAGGCCAAATATCATGAAAAGACTCGAACTTTTTACTATTTTCTTAATACAAAACAGGAAAAATTTATTTAAAAAATTATAAACCTATTGTATGGCGCTATTTCAGTATTAAAATTGTCAATTTGGCTAATTTTTTTGTCAAAATTTGGCTAATTTTATGTTAGGATTTTTTACGATTTTCTATTTTAGTACTCCTGGCTAATATAGGTTGGAAGTCGCTGACGTGGCTGTCATTGTCCTACATTTGTAATTTTTTTTAGGTTTTCTTATCTTTTTATAATTTTTTTTAATGTTGCGTAGGACATCGTCGAGGCCCTATTGGCCTCTGCTGGCCCTTTTAGGAAGATGAACAGTGGAAAAGAAAATAAAAGAAACAAAAAAAATTATGAAAAATACCAAAATTTAAAAAATTGCAAAAAAATCGTCCACGTTAGCGTTGGTCGTACCATGTAGGACGGCCAGCGCTGATTGGATGGCCACGTTATTTATTTTTGGCCAAAATAGACTACATTAAAAAATCATCAAAAGTTTTAAAACTAAAACGGCCTAATATCCAAAAAAACCCCAAACTTTAGCCTTTGTCCCAATTATATCCTAAACTTTTTTTTGTCCCATAAAAAACCCCAAACTTTTACTTTTGTCCCAAATCTACCACCGTTAACTTTTCCGTCCAATATTACCGTTAATAATTATTTTAATATTTATTTTTTCGAATTTTTTTTATTTTTTTATTTTTTCTTTTCTTTTCTTTTTCCTTTCCTTTTCTTTTTTTTTTCCCTTCACCTTCAACCTCTGGCCGGTCGCCGGTCCAGCGACCGGCCAGAGGCGGGGGCCGACGAGGCTCGACCTCGCCGGTGTTGGGCGAGGTCGGCCTCGCCCGCCCTTGGCGAGGTTCGTCCTCGCCGTGGCTGGCGAGGCTCGAACTCACCGGCAACCGGCGAGGGCGAGCCCCCGCCGGCCGTGGCGAGCCCTCGCCCGGCCGTGGCGAGGACGAGGCCGGCGGGGGCTCGCCCTCGCCGGCCACGGCGAGGACGAACCTTGCCGGGGGCGGGCGAGGTTCGTCCTTATCGTGGCCAACGAGGCTCGAACTCGCCGGCTACTTGCGAGGGCGAGCTCGCGAGGACGAGGCCGGCAGGGCCGAGCCCTCGCTAGCCACGGCGAGGACGAACCTCGCCGGGGGCGGGCGAGGTCGACCTCGCCCAACGCCGGCGAGGTGGAGCCTCGCCCGCCCCTGGCAAGGTTCGTCCTCGCCGTGGCTGGCGAGGCTTGGTCCCGTCGACTAGTGGCGAGGTCGAGCCTCGTCGCGGCCGGCGAGGACGAGGCCGACGGGACTGAGCCCTCGCAGGCGTTGGGCGAGGCCGAGCCTCGCTAGATGTCACGCCCCGCACCCTACGAGCGCGCGATCACCCCTCGATGGTCGATCATTGAACGCGACGTCCCAGGACGCGTCGCCGACCCAAACGAACTACGCAAGCGGAAGCAAAATAAAACAACCCGGACAATAAAATATGACGAAGGGATAGCACAAAACAATAATTCCAAATACACAACATCAAAACGGAGTAGTGGTTTGGATATCCTACTTCACTATACAAAAGAGGGGCACACAAAAATATGGGGCAACTTGACCCGTTCTCCACTCCCGAGATACCCTGGTGGCGTCTCCAGTCAATCACTGTCGCAGATCTGAAAATGGTTATATAATAACCGTGAGAACGAGTCTCAATAAGCAACCCCTATACCCCACATAGGCCAATGCGTACCCTGCACAAGTCGTACATGCAATCTACCCCATAACATATAAAATAAAATCGCATCCTTATACTTACCTCACCATCGAACCCATGCTAACACTGCACGTTAGTCATAACATGGTAATGCAGTAATAGTAACTAAATAGCACATCGCAATTGCTCAAACGCCAACCACACTTGCACGCAATTCATCTTACTAATTCGACCACACATTCAACCAGCCAATTCAATCACACTCAACCAGACATTTCAATCACACTCAAATCGCATGCGTGGCCGAACATCTTTCTCACGACCCGCGCCACTGCCCCTCAGGTCCATTCTCACTGCCCGCGCCACTGCGCCTCAGGCCCATCTGGCACACCGGCCATTCATGCTTTCACACGGACCGCCGTCAACACGTCCCAAGTCCGTAGCCCTCCGATCAATTCGGGCTCAATTCTAATGACCGACGTAAACACGTCCCGGTCCAACACACCTTTAACGGGCCACCGTCAACACGTCTCAAGCCCGCATCCATTTGGCACACCGGCCATTCATGCCTTCACACGGACCGCCATCAACACGTCCCAAGTCCGTAGCCCTCCGATCAATCCGGGATTGTCTCATGCACATGCACCACAACACAATTCAAAATTCTCACAAGCCGTACTAATCAAACTCAAGGCATGCTCACCACAATATTCCACCAACCCGACCTTCAAGTCGGTCACATTCAGCTGTCAATTCCACTCACAACCGCCACGATAAGCCAATCATTGACTCACCACAATAGCCACAAATATGCACCCACATTCATCCCAATTTCAAATCACAAGCTCACGATTCCGACATTCAAGTCAACACATTCAATTAATCCAATTCACCCACAAGCGCCATGACAATTCAGTCATGCTATTTATCTCAGTCAATCACCAAATTAACCACACAATTACCACCACAATAATTCACAAATTGAGCACAATCAGTCAAATTAGCCCACTCCTAATTTAATTCCTAACCCGGTACCAAGCACATCCTAAACAAGTCTAAAAATACCCATAGTCCTAAATAAGGAATAGGAGGTCACTTACTTCAATTTGGCTCGGGAAAAACCCGCACGGGCTCAAAACGGGCCGGATGAACAGTAATGGCGAGGGCGCGATGGGCGCGGGGCTCGGCCATGGCTTGGCACACGGCCCGGCGACTCGGCCACGGCCCGGGGCAGTCCAGCCACGGCGTGGGCACGCTCGGGCTGGCTGGGCAGCGGCTAGGCTAGCTCGGCCACGGCTCGGGACGCTCGGGCGACGACGACGACAACGGCGGTTGGACTGGTCCCGGCGAGCACAGCGGCTGCAAGTGGCTGGGCAAGGTCGCCGGGGGCCGGGTGGTGGCGGACGGAGCAGCGGTAGAGACCGGAACGGCGGCGCGCAGCGGCTGGCCGAGGCGGCGCCGGAGAGAGCCCAAAACAGGGAAGGCGTCGGGGAGGATGAAAAACAGGGGAATGGGAGGTGGCGGCGGCCGAGGGGGAGCGGCAGGTCGGCGGAGGTGGCTGAGGGGAGAGACTGGGTGGCAGAGGCGGAGCGGCCGCACGCGGCGGCGGCGAAGCCTGGAGCCCAAACAGGGGAAAGCACCGGGGAAGAAAGAAACAGGGGAAGAGGAGGTCGCGCGGTGGCCGGAGGCGGCACGGCGGCGTCTCGGGTGGCCGGGCGATGGAGGACAAGCCGGCGGACGGCTGGACGACGCCGGACCGTGGCGGATGCAGCTGTAAGCGGCTTGCTCGTGTGCAACGCGGGCGGGACCGCGGCAGGCGAGCAAGGCCCGATGTGAGCGGCGGTCGCGGGCGAGGCGAGCGGCGGCGCGGCTCAGTCGGGCGACGGCGGCGCGAGGTGAACGGCAGACGGTGGCTCGGCTGGTCCTGGTGAGCAGCAAGCAGGAGGCCAGAGCAGTCGCGACCGGAAGAGAAGACCCACGGAGAAGAAGAAGAAGAGAGGAAGAAAAGAAAAGAAGAAGAAAGAAAGAAAAGGAAGAGAGAGAGAGAGAGGAGTGGATGGGTCTGACAAGGGGGGACAGACGTGCGAAGGGGGGAAAGTGACCGGAGAGAGAGAAAGAGAGAGAGAGAAAGAGAGAGAGAGACGCGAAATAAATAAATAAAGATTCAAATAATAATTGCGATCCGATGGCCCATATTTAAAACTGAAAACGATCTAAAGGTCCAAATTAATCCTAGAATATAATAAGGGACAAAAGCCAAATTAATTAAATCAAACTACCACGAGGGAGGTCTACTAGTCCAAATTCGCACCCGGTCAAAAATCCACTTTTCACATATTTCGAGCAATCTCGAGGCTGACCACAATAATATCGACACCGTCCAATTAAATTCATCCCGAAACTCCGAGAAATTCGACACCAAAGTTTGGGCTCTAAATAACGGCAAAATTCGATCGAATGCGATTCTAGCGAAATCTCAAATTTAAAACAATAACCGGGAGTGATTAGTTCCCGGGCGAGATTTTACTATAAGCACATTGACGAATTACACGTTTTATAAATCCCAAAAATGGGCCGAAATTCAGAATGTCACAACTCTTCCCCCCTTACAAAAATTTCGTCCTCGAAATTTACAATCTAACCCAGCTATCCAAATAAATGGGGGTACTGGTGTCGCATCAACTCTTCGCGTTCCCATGTCGCACCTTCGGTTCTATGGTGCTCCCAAATCACCTTGACCGTTTCAACTGACTGCTGAGCCAACTCGGGACCCGTGATACTCTTCTCACCCATTTCATCCCAACAAACCGGCGTTCTACAAGCTCTGCCATACAACGCTTCAAACAGGGCCATTCCGATACTCTGTTGATAGCTATTGTTGTAGGCAAATTCAACCAAATGCAACTGTTCCTCCCAGCTACCTTTAAAATCCAATACACATGCCCGTAGCATATCTTCTAAGGTCTGAAT